GTCCCTGGGGAAGGAGGATGTTCTCTGGGCTTTCACAGATTCATTCATCCTTTATCTCCTCATAACAAGTATCTCAGATGCACTGTGTCTAAATATACTGTCCCATTAATACAGCGCCATCACTTGAAAAGCTAGGTAGTAACCCATCAGTTCAGGCTCCTGCCAGGACTGCGTGGCACTTACCTTCAATATGGGGGTAACTTCAAGCAAATCCACTAGCATTTTAATGCTAGTGATTTTAAATGACTAACAAACACAACTCTGAACATACCGTAAACACTGTGACTATGACCTAGGACTAGATTTTCAAGCGGAGGTGACAAAATGTACTTGTGAAATATTTGCAAATGCATAAATGTACCAAACATTCTGTACGTGTTTGATAAATGCAACACACAGACACCAATTTATTTGGAATTTGGCCCATAATTTATTAAGTGGTTAACAGGTCTGGACCACAGTGAGGGGTGTCTGGAAAAACTGGGTGACAGCATCAGGAGGTTAAAAGGACTCTTTTAAAGTAACAGCTCTACTGAATACACACACATATACATGGACACATTTATAGGTTTAATAATAACAGAAAAATAAATTGGTAGATTAACTGTTAGTAGAATGAAGACAACTGAGATAATGACATGGATTTGTTTGTAGGTAATGTGCCCAGGAGATAGAGTAGCTTGATGACAGTAGTCAGTATATCTTTTAGTTCCACCTTCAAAGGCATCAGGAAAGAATGGAGTTTGATTTACCTGCCAATATGCCACGAGACTTTTATTTTGTGAGTACCATGCTTGGTTCTTGACTGCACAGCTTCAGTGCCAATATGTTTATTCCTCTTATGCTCTTAGCCTACAGATGAGTGTGGTGAGGCAACTGCCCCACCCCTATGAGAGATAGGGCTAGAGTAGGCCAGAGTGGCTGTGTAGAGGGGCAGCCAGTCAGGAAAAGGCCTACTGGGAGCCAATCAGGGCCAGTATTCCAGCCAGCCAATCAGGGCTAGGCTAGGCCCTATATAAAGGCTGCCCAGGAAGGGAGCAGGCAGTCTGTCCCAGATATTCACGGGGGAAGGCCTGTCTCCTGAGTAGGAGACAGGCACCGAGGACAGAGCAGTGCTGGGCAGGCTTGGGGGAGCATAGAAGGGCTCCGGCCCAATACCTGCCAGACTGTGGGCCCTGACAGAAAGGGCCTAGTGGGTGTGAAGGGCCAGAGGGGAAGTGGCCCAGGGACAGTTAGACAAGGGGAGAGAAGGAGGGCAGGGAGGCTGCCACTACAGGGTCCCTGGGTCGGGACCCAGAGTAGTGGGCGGACCTGGGTTTCCCCCTTCTCCTTGTACAGCACCTGGCCGTGACAGATTGCAACCGGCCCTTGAACAGAGAAGCTAGACTTGAGGGGTTGTGGTTGGCCACTGCGGCAGGAGCGAACTGGAAAGACTGCTGTTAACCCCCCCGCCCCCCGGAAGGGGACGAGTGTGGACTTGGGGGCAGCGCTGAGGGGATGAGTCCCAGCCCCGTCACAATGAGTCAGTTATTACAGAAGAATTTCAATCTATGCTGAAGACCTGGCATAAATTTGAACAGCCATAACAATAATAATTAACAACACATAGCATTTCAATAGTGCTACTTTTGTTCAAAACAGTTTTACTGACAGAGTTTTGCTCTAAATGTTGAATCGATAGAGGTTGGTGTCCAGTTAATTAAGAGAAAATATCAAAAAAAAAGAACGTCACAGGTAATGGTTTCCTGCTACTAGGGATATGCCAGGAGGAAGATAAGTATGACAGAGTAATTTATTAAGCAACAGTACACTTCAGGCAGTGCATTTGTAGAAGATTATAGCACACCTTGGATGTTAATAAAAGAGACACGACTGAAGGCTGTGTGGCTTTAACCCTCCAAGAAGTGCTATAATCGCCTAGAAGTGCCAGTGCTTGGAGTCTTATTGATCTTATAAAATGGAATTTAAATAGGGAAAACAGTAAGATTTGCTCATTTAGAGGGCATTAGAAACATAATTGATCATTACTGACATCCCTGACAGCCAGTCAGAAAGCTCCAATTGTGACTAGAGTTCTAATCTAATCAGAACTGAAAGCCATAAACACAGCAAATGAGTGAAGCTTTCAAATCATTTATTCATAACACTGTTATAAGCAGTAGCATTAAGATTTTTTTGAGATATTTTTAACACTTATGTCTTGGCTACAGGGTGAGCTGTGCACCTCTCAGCAAAAATAGGGGTAGAAGGGATAACAAAGGTGAAGGTGGCAGAAATAGGGAGCACCAAATGGGAGTCCAGAGCGGGGGCGTACCAGCGTGGAAGGGAAAATGTGAGGAGTGGGGAGATAGTGAAAGAAAATGTGGCGAGAGAAGGAAGAGGCAAATGGTCCAGTAGTAGAGAGGCCAGGGTTAGGGCCATGCTTTTATGTCATGTTCCCTGAGCTCTGTAACTCCTGAAATAGGTTTCCAGTGCTACAGAGAAAATTGTGAACACACACTCAAAACAACCCACAACAGCAACTAAAAACACCTGTTTTTACTGAATTAAACACTAACCCATGAAAATATTTCCATTCGTATTAGGTTTTGTGACAGATAATGTGAGTCCTCTGCAACTTGGTAGTTTCCCTTGAATATGAGCAAGTCAAAAAGAATAAGTTCAAAAATCATGAAGCTAAACTTCAACGTACATTTCAAATTCTCCGCAATCTGAATCGATTAATTTACTCCATTTTTAGTCAGGCCATGCTGTGTAAGGCAAATCCACATGGTAATAAAGTGCTTACAGAGAGAAGGGTTGTGTTACAAATTTTCATGCCTGGCTGAATTGCACAAAGCTATGAGCCGATCAGCATTTATTTTTAGTGTAACTCAACCCATGCCACTAGTTGGCCAAGGGTACTAAATTACTTCTCCCTTTGACACACCACATTATACTGTGGTAAGGAAATGAGTTTTATTAGACATCAAGTACAATGGATACATGTAGTAGTAAGGTAAGGTATTTTAATAAACTGGACACACATTTGCTGTTCAGTAACTGGAAACATACAAATGGTCTGCATCAGTGTTGAGTGAATGGTTCGGGTTTTAAACCAAACGAACTCACCAACGATGCCTCTCATGCATAGATGAGTTCGAAAGATTTTGACTCAACTTCTACTGGTTTTTGTTTTTGTTTTAATCTTTGTGGCTCTTTCTGTCAGGAGTTCAGGAGAAATGAGCAAGAGACAAAACCAATATAGCAGCCTCATAATCCACATCATAGGAGTTTTCTGCTTTTTGACTTACTGTACTAGACACCTCTCTATTCCTGGTAGAATAGGTGCATTGTCCATCCACTCCTGGAACCATTTAGCTTCCATTTACGGTTTCTTTCAACAAACAGGGCACAGCATAACATGTTTCATAAGCCCAGAAGCCTACTCACAAGCTGTTTATTGTCATTAGCCCACAAAAGATGGAGGTGTTAGAACATGACACACAAAGGAATTAGGTCTTCCTGTTAAACCACATTTCTACTCTGGAAAGAGACTGTAAAAACAGCATTGTGGATTTGATGGAAGGGATACACACCATCTATTGAAAAACAGGTTCCATCCGAAAGGTGCAGTTCATGCCTGGGCTGTGGGCAGCACATTACTTGAGAAAAACTTAAAGGCCAACGTCAAGAGCTGAGCTTGAGTGGTTAAGGTGACAGAGGGGATCTTGTGTCTCAATGAGGCCAATCAAATTTGCTCCGTAAACAAGAGTTGTTTTTCTTAACTGAGAACTCTGCAAACTCAAGCTGGGATCTGAAAGTCAAACTGGGTTCTTTCTGTGTCATCTCGTGCATCATGACCAACAATAAATGTCCTGTATGCTGAATTATGCCCTCAGTTACACTTGTGTAACTCATTAAAAGTGAATAGAGTTGCACATTTTGCTTCACTGTCTGCCTGTCAGGAAACACTTAAAAAAACTAAACTTTTGTTGCTAAAGATTAAATTAATTCACAGTCACAGTTCAACCATCAGACTTGTCCATTTGACTCTCGTGTAGGGTAATAACACGTTTATTTTCGCCCGTGTTTTTGAGCTTGTGAAAGTGCAAAGGTTAAAACTTACAAACAGGATTTGAAAAGCACATCAAGAAGCCAAACTGAACATAAAATACAAATTATCACAACAGACCTTAGCTATTGTATAAACGGCACAGGTTTTAGTTAGTTTAGAATTAACTGGTAAAAGCAGTTCCTTCTGTTCTAATCTAAATAGAGTACACAGTTTGTTAAAGCATAACATATATTGTTATTCTAAAGGCCTGTTTTTTATTTAAACATGTGGTTAAGCCTGGAATCAGCCTCTGTGCTCAAGTATCTTTATTTTACAGAAAACATGAAAAAAGAAGCCAGGACATGTTTGGTAGGCCTAGGCAAAAAATACAGTGCTACCAAAGCCCTAGCAGTCTTCAGATCGTGCAGCTTTGTTTCTTTCAGTAAAGGACATAAAAATATTTGTGGCTGTATGTTTTGATAATAGAAGTGAGTACCTTGTCATGTTTTAAATCAGCAGCCAAAGGACTTCTTAAGTGAACACGACAGTATTTAAAATTTCCCTTGCTACCTTGGTTAAGATGTGTCAATCACAATTAACAGCAACAGATTTGGTATTCTAAAACAAATAAATCCTGCAACTTCTTTGCTGCATGAAAAGCAGATGACAAGTGAATGCAGAAAGCAAACCTACCACTATAGCCAGTTAATCTGTCAATGGAAATTACTTTCATTTTTTCCTGTATTCACTAGGGTTGGTAAACAATAGAACTTCAGCTAATACAGTTTTTGTTACATACAAATTGAATGTGAAATATTGGATGACATTATAAATGAATCTCTTTTGCTATTGCACTGGAATCCTGAGGCCCTCTGAGTTTTCATGATTAAAGCAGTCTGTAAACTTCATATATTTTGTATCAACCCTATTAAATTCATGTCTTTTTCTCTTCTACCAAATTAAGGAGTGTCCTTCCACCTGCTATTTGAAGGAGACACGTCTTCCTTGACTCTACACACGCAACAGAAACAAAAGGAACATTCACACTTCTCACAGAGGATTGTGAGAAGTGTGTGCTGAAAATCCACATGGTGGGGTAAGCTCTCTCTCTTTTCAAGTAAAAGCCTCTCTCAGCTTTCCAAGCTTGTGGACTTCCTCTGCTTGCCTCCCACTGTAGTTTTTGTGCTATCAGCCATCATGTCCCTCCCATGGCTTTTATTTGTACTGAGTAACTCCTCACACTCCTCATCCTATCAGCAAAAGCGGCGCTTGTGAATCTCCTGAGGAAGCGTCCTTTCTTCACTCTTTCCAACAACTGTGCCCATCTGTCATCTGGACTATTTTGTCTCTATCTAGTTCATTTGTGGCTCTCACACTCCATTCTCCATGCTCCTCTCCACTGCCTTTTCCCCTCCTGACCCTTTATATTGGTTTACTATTGCTCACGAGAGTGGCTAGAAATTTTTTTTTTATCTGCCAACAGAGGGTCATGGCCTCAAAAAGAGCTATAGCCTAAAACAAGTCAATACATTGTGGAACAGAGACTTACGTGGAAGGGGTAAAGTGGACCATTCAGATAATTCATGAACTTGAAGTGGATAATTAAACAAACTTTGCCTCTTTGAAGTGTTTAATATGCAGCTTTAGGGGATCACAGGGAGTTAAGGATGTTAGGGATGGGGTACAGGTGGTGGGGTCAATATCAAGCAATAATCCCACGTAAAACAGCATTGTGGATTTGACAGAAGTGATATACACCATCCATTGAAAAACGGGTTCCATCTGAAAGGTGCAATTGATGTCTGGACTGTGGGCAGCACATTATTTGGGAAAAACTTCAGTGCCAATGTCAAGAGCTGAGCTTGACCGTTTTAAAGTGACAGAGGGGATCTTGTGTCTCAGTGAGTCCCTATCAAATTTGCTCAGTAAACAAAAGTTGGTTTTCTTAACCGTCAACTCTGCAAACTCAAGCTGGGATCTGAAAGTCAAACTGGGTTCTTTCTGTATCATGGAGGTATCTCGTGCACCATGACTATCTGGACAACTACCAAAGGGGTTAATAATGCAATTTCTAAAATATTCCATTTCACAACACCAAAGTCAATGGAAAGCACTTTATATATAGAATTTCATACAGGTTCAAGTTTAAGTCCATGAGCTATGTGGGAGTTTTGAGACTTCAGCAGTGATGGTTGTTTATACAGCACATGCTCCATGGATTAGCAGATATGTGCATCTATGGTGCCTGTACTGACCCATGAAAGACTGCATTTACAAATGCTAAAGGCTATTGTTCTACTTGTCCAACTATTTTTAGTTTTCTCAATCTTCTACTTTCTTTCTCCAGAGCCTATATTTGGTTTTGTTTTCTGATTCTGGTTTGAAGTAGTGTTAACCTCTAATTTCTGTGTCAGAATATTAAGACATAGTGGCACAAAGTTTATCTACTAAGTCTGGGTCAGCAGTCTGCGATCCTTCAGGGATATCTCACTAACCTTCTGCCCAAGGGGAATGGGTTTGAAGAAACAGAGTATAAATGGCACTGAGGACTAACCTGAGTCAATCAGAATGCTAGAGAAGACAGATAAAGTATCCAATAAGATCAGAGAAGCCTTGGTGAGACTGAAAGAGGCACAGAAATATTGAGATGAGTCAGCAGAAGACACAGCACTTGGACCCTAGTACACAGGTGAAGATTTTAAATTTAGACCCAAAGCTAAATTCAAAGATTTTCTGTCTGATTTGGCACCAGAGCTTATGATGAACATTATTTATGAGTAACCTGCTAGTAGAAGATTAGAATTACTCTGCTCTGAGAGTTGTGGTGACAGACATTGCCTTTTTTGGAATTAGACAAATACAAAGTAAAACAGGCTAGCGTGTAGCAATTCAGAGCTTTTCACCACACATACAGAAGGCTGCTGCATGTCAAAGGCTTAGACTTCATGGATGCATGGTATAGCATGGGTCCTAAGAATCCACAGTAGCTGGAGTAGCATGTATGCTTTCCTCTGTACTAAAGATGAATTTTGCTTCTTACCTTGCTGCACAAAGGATCCATAAACGAACCACATGGAGTTGTACAGTGTTGTAGAAGTCATTGATCCCATCTGCAGGCGTGGTGGGTTGAGCCAGTTCAAGAGGTAGACCAGTAGTCCTACCAGAAGCACAGTGCCAGCTATGCAGGCCCACAGGGAGAGGTCAAATGGTGCCAAGCAGGCAAACATGTCCATTGTCTTCTCAGCCTTTCGAAGCAGTACACCCACTGAGTAGTCCATGTAACGGGTTGTGAAATCTACCACATTTTCCCGATCAGGGGTAATGGTTAAAGCAGAAATCCCTATGTCGGCTCTCTAAGAAAGAGAAAAGAGAATTCATTAACATGAGCAACAGAAAAAAAAATCTTCGATCTAATTTGTTTTATAGCACCTAAACTTTTCATGGAAAAACTGATGCCAAGGCCAATGTCTTCAGTAAGTAAATATGAAAATGATCCTAAGGAGATGAACAGAATAGCTGCACATCAATCTTATATTTCTATGGCCAAACCTTGCCTGGCTAGACTTGGGCAGATTAGTTTTCCAGCATTATTAGTGTCCAAAAATCAAGAAAAATATTTCAAATACAAATAATAGCTGGAGGAAATCTGCTTCTGGTAATTTTTCTTGGCATGGCTTATCGGGGACATCATTGTCATAGAGGCAACAGGCAGATCTTGTGTATAGCATTCCTACTCAGAGGAAATTAGTTTCCTGACAGAAGCCACATGATGCCTAGAATTCCGATGACCTGAGGATCATGACAAAGGGCCACTGCATGTCATTACATTTCATTTGGCTGCATATTAACTGTAGAATAATCAATGTCCTATGTGGTTCCTTCAGTACTGGATTTTTTTATAGCATTTGAAAACTGAGCTACCGTACCATATGGCTACCTGTCCTGCAGGTGTCAGAGAATGGTTGGTTTCACAGACATCTATGTAATTTAAAATAATCCATTTAAGAAGGATTATTAAGGGGATTAATAACATTCCTTGATCTTATCATCCCAATTCTCAGCTTGTCGCTGAAACATTAGGTCCCTAGAGACAACAGCCACAACTACAGCAGGTGCTATTTTACTTACTTTTCACACATGCAATTATAAGTGCAGTGAAAATAGAAGAGGTACTTCAAGCAGACACATTAACGGTGTTTTTAAAAGAAATTCAAATATTGAATAAAAAACCTGTAAACTCTAGATTTTTTTTCATATGGAAAGGAACATTTCACATACTTAAAGTTGTTACTGGTTTGATGTAATGCACTTCTACTGTGATTAAAGCTGTATGAGGTCCTTTCTAGGAAACGAAAGAGGTATGAATATGGAAAGGATCAGCAAATCTATCAATTTATTGACTCTCTTGAGTTTCTTTCATCTATGTCCAAACAAGGCGGGAATTACTGCTACCCAAATATTGAGATGTATGTGATATATTAAGTGGTATAGCGTGGGAATGAAACTGTGATAACTAAAAAGTAGGCAAGGATTAGGATCCAGTTTGAAAATCCCAACTTTGTTTTGACATTTTCTGTCAATATTTTCTGCTACACATAGTACAGTCACATTATTAATCACAATAAGCTCTAGACAGGACTTGATGTACTTGATGCAAAAGCGTATTGATGTCTGAACTTAAACTTCAATAATCTTCTACAGTTGTGTGAATGAGAGGGTGTGTGGAGGGGGTGGTGTTGGGCAAAAAAGTATTTTCAAATATTCATTTGCATAAAAGTCATGGGCCAAAGCTTCAGCCGGTCATAGAATATAGAATCATAGAATATCAGGGTTGGAAGGGACCTCAGGAAGTCATCTAGTCCAACCTTCTGCTCAAAGCAGGACCAAATCCCAATTTTTGCCCCAGATCCCTAAATGGCCCCCTCAAGGATTGAACTCACAACCCTGGGTTTAGCAGGACAATGCTCAAACCACTAAGCTATCCCTCCCCCCAAGGTCTAATCAAGATAGCTCTACTGACTTAAATGGAGCTGCATTGACTTACACCAGGAGAGAATTTGGCTTCATGAATTCACTTTGATTGTATTCATAACGCTTTCTGTTAGTTTTCAGTGAATGATCATTCAATGTTGTTTGATTCACAGGCAGCAAAAGTCTCAGGAATATTTGTGCAGATTCATCAGAGTGAAGGTTTGCACAAGACTCGGTCACGTAACTTGAAAGTCACTTTGATTTCCTTCTGCTTCTTTATAAAGTATTCAATCAGGTGAACAGCTTAAAGAAAAGCATATGGCTCTGATGACCTATCGTACCACAGAATAATCAGAGCTGAGAACACTGCAAATGACCCACTCTGAAATGTTTTCCACATAACGTGTACATCAATTTTGAATAATTAACAACTTGTAAAAGTCAAAGTCAGTTCACAAATAATTAATTAACAGAGGCAAGGCTAAATGCAATTTTTTTTGTATGTTTGATTCAAGTCCGGTGTTGAGTATGATTTCGTGGTTATAAAGCGACCCTAGGAGTCAGAAGTTCTTCTAATCTCTAGTCCCAGCCCTTGTTGGTTATTTTTAGGTCAGTTATTTCACCAACTGTAATTGTTATTAAAATATTTCCCTACCTCAGAAGAGTACAGTGAGGTATAATTAATTTAACATTTTAAAATGTTTTGATATCCTTGGATGAAAAGCAATATAGTTTGGAGTGTGTGAATGATTCATTTAAAAAACAGGAGAATACTGCAATATTGACTAATTGCAATCATGACTAAAGTTTTTTTAAATAAACAGGTTTTCACAAGAGATGTGTTGTATGGAAGAGCACAGCACCATGTCATTTGTGGAGATGTTGCTTATATTTTACCTCCTTGGAATGAAGTGTTCCAAAATTCCACTGCATTACTACTCCAGTATAGTTACCAGCGAGCTATGACGGAGGATCACCATTGTTCTAATGGAAGTATTCCATTTCCTTTGTGATATTACAAAAGTCATTGTGATACAGTTATGTCCACTGATAAGGCAGTGGTCAAAAAGTGGTAAAAGGAACGGTGAAAGATAAATCCTGTGTTTTCAGTGCTATTGTATTTAGGTTTCTTTTTAAGAGGGAATATTACTACCCACATACTTATTTTATTTACTGAGTTTTAACCAGTGTGTTCCTATCGAACAATTTATTTACCACTGAAACCAAAGTCAGTTAGCAATAATACTGGCTAGTACAACTGTAGTGAAAAGTACTACTAACAGGTACCAACCTGGTTGCCACCCAGCTGCATTTGCTTCATGTTTAGTGAAAGAGAGATCTTTTATTAATAGAAATGTGTTGTATGAACTGAAGGAAAGCTGTGAAAATGATTTTTGTACAATATTTGTAGCAACATATCATCTCATTGGGTGACAATTAAGGCTCCATGTCCGTCCCGGAGGTCACGGAAATTATGGATTCTGTGACTTTCCATGACTTCCATGACTTCTGCAGTGGCCAGTGTGGCTCACCCCAGGACTGCCCAAGCAGCTGGCTCTGGGCCCAGCTGCTCAGGTAGCCACAGGGACAGCCACACCAGCCACCGCTGGAGCGACTCTGCAGCCAGCCGCTTGGGCGACCCCACAGCCAGCCACACTGGCTACTGCTTGAGTGGCCCTGGAGCCAGCTACAAAGGCCGCTGCCCAGCGGTCCCGGGGTGGCCGCTGCTCAGCGGTCCTGGGGCGGCCTCTGGCAGCTGGTACCGGTGGCCCTGGCCCCCCAGCAGCAGCCCCTAGTCCTCCCCCCAGAGCAGCGGCCCCACAAAGAGTAGCCCCCGCATAATTAATGTTCAGTGTGTCATGTTTTGTTACCCCTTGGTTTACTGTCAAGTGAGGTCTCATTTTGTTGTGTGTATAACCCTGTAAACGTATGAATAATCTATAATATATAATCATCACTCAGGCTACGATTTAGTCATGGGTATTTTTAGTAAAAGTCATGGACAGGTCACTGGTGTGAATTTCTGTTTATTGCCTGTAACCTGTCCATGACTTTTACTAAAAATACCCATGACTAAATCGTAGCCTGAGTGATGATTATAGATTATTCATACGTTTACAGGGTTATACACACAACAAAATGAGACCTCACTTGACAGTAAACCAAGGGGTATCAAAACATGACTCATTGAACACACTGAGTTAAATCTGGGCTTCACTGCAGTCGCCAGGAGTTTTGCTATTGACTTCTATGGGACCATGATTTTCCCCATAGTACCTATTCAGGACTTCTTTCTCAGGCAAAGTTCCCACTGCTTGCCAAACAAGTGGTGAATTGGAAACATATGGGTTGATTTTTGAAGGTGCTAAGCACCTACAGCTCTCACTGACTGAACTGTGGGCAACAGCTTTTCTGCAAATCAGACCTCTAGTGACTACCAGATTTCACCTAATAGTTGATCCATCAAAGATGAGTGTTCTTAATTATGTACAGATGTCAAATTACACAAAAACTGGCAAGTGGAAAAATGAAATGCCTATCATTATCATGTCAAAATAAATCAGAGAGATATCAGCTTTCAGAAGTCAAGGTTCGCTAAGTGCTTTATAGAAGAAAGGCAAATGCATGCAATCATGTCAATATTTAGATGTAAAGTTGCCAGTCTAAATTATAAACATGGAAAATACTCCACTCATTAAGTTTTAGGAGTGCCAAAATATTACCAATTATCATAATCTTAGTTATTTTGGTTTACAAACTTAAGTTAAATGAAACTGTGAGAGTTGGTTCATGAAACTGATTGGCTACTGAAAAAACAGCAGAGAACATTATTTTATTTGATATGACCCGTATATGAAACTGCATTAGTCATTACAACATGGAGCTGATGTGATGTCACCTCTCTACGCTGACACAAGTCCATCATCATTGCCCTGGAACCCCCCTAAACCTTACATGTTATTGCTTAAGTAAACTCATTTATGATTATTGCTCTATATACCTGAAAACAATCTTATAGTGAGTCCCTGTTTATAACTACGACTAAGGAGAACTTACAATACTGATGCAACAGCCTTTATTTATTTTTCAGTCCATCCTTAAACTTGCTCTAATGCGACCTTTCATTTAATTGCTATTTCAGGTTAATCCAAGGATAAATATGTACTGATTAATACAACAAGGGCGTTATGTCCACTGTGATTTTTTGATGCAAACTTGAGTTTTAAACAAAATACATTGCTGGCATTTAAATAAATTAAGGAAAAATACTTATTCTAACAAAAGAGACATTGTTTTGTGTCAGGAAACACCTTGGGGTTGAGTCTGGCCCCCACTCTGCCACCCTATGCTGCTCCAATGGTATATATGGGAATATAAAGGGGACACTATATCTGGAGAAGAATCCCCCGAGGGGAGGCTCACCATGAGGTTGATGTAAGCAGCCTTATGCATGGCTGATAGTGGATCTGGGGCATGCACATAGCATTTTGTGCCATAGCAAAGCAGCACATAGTAAGGCTGCCATAAAGTAAAGCAGTCCTCAAAACTGCTCCTGCTTACGCTGGGGGCTGCACCAGTCCCTGACAAAGGCATAAAGCTACCTTGCTCTCGCTTTCTTTTTCCCTCAGGGCTATACCTTCTATTTTGTGTCTCTGATTTCTCTGGAGGCTACAGACTGAAAAATGAAGAGAGTCAGATAGCAACAGGACATGAGTTACGGTGAACTCACGACAAAGAAAAGTACATAAAACATCATCACAGAATTGTATGACTGGAAGGGACCTCGAGAGATCATCTAGGCCAGTCCCCTGCACTTAAATATGAGAAGCAAAATCTTAACCTCCCTGGGAAAGCTGGAGGAGGTGTGCCCGCCTGTCTCCGAGGAAATGCTACGCAGACACCACATGAGGCTTTGCTCTATTTAACACGGGAACTGTGCACTTACTACAGCAACTGTCATCTCATATGGTGTACCTGCTGCAGTGGCACTGCAAACCATGTCGTGCCGTCTCTGCGAGATACATTCAGCAATGCGTCGTGTGAGTGCTGCTATTTTCCATAACGCTTGTGAAGAGAGAGATTTAATTTTTGCATGTGCACAGCGTTCCCAACTCCATCTTGGCTCCCGTGTGGCAATGCATAAAGGGCAACCCATGGGTTTCTGAATGGCCTCCACATTGTGTTGGCAATATTAACATGTCAGATTGGAATGGAAAAAAATCCATTGTCCTATAAGAATTTTTTTAAATCGCTTCAATTTTTAATCTAAAGTGTTTTTGCCCCCAAGGTTGCCAATCAAAGAGGTTTCTGGAGTTCTGGAAGCAAAGCTCAATTCACTGTAAATAAGGAGAAAGCAGGCTTCCAGGAACAGCTTGCATGCCGTGAGACACAGATCCATGCTGGCTGCTTGCCCAGCAATTCAACAGTCCCTTAAGTGAGACAGGGAAAGGGAAAGAGAGAGAAGGCACAGTGAACCTCTGCTGTTAACTATATAATGCCATAAAGATCACCTCCTACCTCAATACAGGTCATCGGCTTTGGTAGTAAGGGAAACATTAAAAAAGAGAAGTCTGGACACAGGTGTGTGAGTGAGAGCCAAGCCCCCATCATAACTTTTCAGCATAAGAGAGAGAAAGATAGATTACATTCATTCAGAGTCACAGACTGTGCACTTTTAGCACTTAAATAAAACAACACACATACTGTAGCTTTTCAACTTCAATGATGTGTCATTTGCTTATCAATGTAAATGTCTGATCTCAGAATGATTTTGAGATCCTACAAGCATCTTGTTATTGGGAAGGAAAGAAAACCGTATGTGTATTATTAGTGAACCATCTGATTTCAGTATTTAGGATTTCTGGGTTATGAGACGTTCATGTGACATTGATTAAATGTATTTCAATCCTGACTCAGCCCCAAAGTCACTGAGAACATGGACTCTTCTGTTTGGGTTATGCACTGTTTCTCAAATGACAAACTGATGACGGTATGTTGGCCTTTCTACAGAGCAGCAGATTATGTACCATAATAATTAGAGAACAGAGAAATTATTAGAAAGCAAGAACCAACCTGATTCTATGCCTAAAACATAAGACAAATCAATTTTCTGAAGTTGGAAAATGCTAGGTTAACTTTAAAAATTATCAGAGCACACCTCTACACTTCCTAGTTTCATCTGGATTTGCAAGAGATACGACTATGACGAAGGCAGTTTATTTTCAAAAGTAAGATGTACAAACAAATACTTTAAGTGCCAAAGAACTTTTTCTCACAAGATTTGTTCCCTCAATCCAAGGCCAAGGAAGTCCTGATAATCATTGACTATCCACCCAAACATTTCAATGTCTGAAGCTAACTTTTAAAATTCTTGAGGATAAAACATCACAGAGGCTGGATACATAGTAAATATCTATTAAAATAACTAGTCCATTTCCTAGTGGTGTTCTAGTGCATTTTCCAGCCTTTTACAAATAATAGGGCTGTCTCCATTTCTCATAGGTGGTTATTTTACATCCTAATAGGCCTCATGTTATTCAGCAATGCAGAAAAGGTTGACACCATCACTATTATAGATATTTGATCACTACTGTATTAATTTATAACCAACCAGCTGGGACCATCCATTTTCCATTTCAAGTGCTCTTTAATTTCCACCTCCCTTCTTAGTCAGCATGCAATACCATTTTACCATTCAGCAGATATTCAATGGGATTTTTTTTAGTGCATTTTACCGCGAGACTTATTATTCAACACTTATCTGCATTTGCCATCTATTAGCCCAAGTACTTAATGATCTAGGTACTTCATCTGATTGCATTGCTCCTTACTATTTGCTGTGACTGCTAATCAAATGTCACTTGCAGACTTGTAAAATGGCTTCCACAATCAGCCACTAGGTCATTTACATTTCTCATTCCTTTTTACAGCAATTATTATTCATATTACAGCAGTGCTGCTAATGTGCTATGGGGTGGTACAGATGCAACTGCAGATAAAGTCCTCACCCTCTAGAACTTGCATTCTAACAAGTTAAATCAAACATATGAAGAATGAGAGCAACATTCAAACAACTATTTCCATGTGACAATGGTAAAGAGTCACAGTGAGAATTGTTTTCTTCTTACACTGAAAAAGGAATTTTATCAGGATAATGGTATTATCCATAAAGCTGAGTGTGTGTGCACGTCTCTCCCTCTATGCTTCACTGTACCACCTATGCCTAAAGCCTTCCCAAGCCACCGTCCTCCCAGGCTTCCAGATAGTTTTAAGGAAACTGTACACATATCTTCCAAAATTTCCTCTCTTCCCACACTCTGCCTTCTTTCCTGCTACCCTTTCATCAATGTTCAATCCCTTGGCCCAAATTTTCAGCCACTGGCTCTTAAATTGGACATGCAAACATGTTGTGTACTCATTGCATGAGGCTGGTCCTGTTACATTACTTTAAGTACATCACACGGTTGAGTATGTCCAGAATTTGGATGTGCATTATATGTGTTTCTGTATTCACTAATGGACTGGTAGATGGCCTGTGTGGACTCCTAATATCATGAGTATTCCTGCTTTTATACATACATATGTTAAATATCCACACAATCAATTGGAAACCTGCTACTGTATTTACAGTTAATCTATGTAACCACATATTCCTATCATTAACCTCAATCTGCCCTACTTACTATCCCCTCCAATTGTTTATTCTTCTATTTCTTACATCTTGTATTAGGTTGTAAACTCTTTAGGGCAGGAACTTTCTTCTGCTGTGTGTTTGCACAGCAACTAGCATAATGAGGGGTTGATTCTGATGAGGCACCACGTTGCTCATCAAGTAGTAATACATAATAATAATGACTTTCTCTTAGAATAACTAACGTTGG